AATGAATTAAATCGTGAAATATTTTTCGAAAGAAAAAACTCTTTTCTCAACTGTCAAAATAACCTTAAGCGAGATTGTTTTCTCTTCTTTCACAAAGTATAAGCGCGTGTTTTGTATTATCGACGGGAAATTTGTTATTCAATCAGTTAAATGATCAGTGATCGGTGCGATAATAAATATCGCATCGAGAATTTCGTCTCTTTTATATTTAAATTTCGTTTTATCACTGCAGATTTCAAACAAATACTTATTGGCTAAGTTTATCTTCAATACTAATGCCTACGATCACAAGGGGAGTATACTTATTAGTGATAATTGTTAAATTTTCGACCATACAGGAGTTTTATCTATTTTTACAATATTAAATGCGGACCCCCTTCAATAAAGCCTTGAAGATATAAAGTTTAAAAAAGCCATTGCTCTATCTTTTCAAACTGAGAAGCCTCATAGAATGTGATAATTATACATACAGGGGGCCTAAATTGCATGTAAAATTGACATTTTTAAAAGTTAAAAAGTCATCGGCGTATCAATTTCTACTTATTGAAACAGAATACTTTAATAAATGAAGAGTTTGCCCACACTATAGTATGGTATAGAAGGCTAGAACGTTGGAGAGGAGAGAGACGTAACGTACTTCTATTGTTAACTGTTAGTTTAAAAGTACATAGGGGTTAAGGAACCCTTGTTTGGTGGAATCCAATTAAAATTTCATATATCTTGTATTACAATACTTAGATACGCACCGTACGGACTTTCAAATCGTGGTTCTGTCAAATTTACTAAATGTGACCATTTTCTACTGGATAGTATGATTCAAATGAACTTTAACCTGGTAATTAGTATTTTATTTTGTTTATACCAGTAATATTTTATTTATTAATTCAAGTAACATGACCTTTCTGATAGTTGACAATTTGTGCAGGTAATTTTTTTTTCGTTCATTTTGTTAGTTATATACAAGATGTTCAATGTCGTATTCAGACATGCGATTTTAATTTTTGTTGTTTAACGTGAAGAATTGTGAAACGGACGTATGAGTTAGATATAGAGGTAATTACTGTTAAGAATATTCTAATCTTGATTTACACAAGCCATAATGTATCTACGTAAATTTCTTTCAATGGAATAATAATTGAAATAATAATGTTATGGTGAGAGCGCAGTATTTCATTCAAAATTTACAATTTACATGCATTTAATGTTATATAAACGTGCTTAATATGTTTAATATTTTAGTTTCGTTGTGAAATATTAGAAAATATGCCATATATCATATGTTTATGTTGGGAATTCGGATATAAAGATATTTAGTTAAGTTTTTGTCTTATCTGATAAAGAACAATACACAGTTTTGATTGGTTGGTATAAAGTGGAATAAATCATTTTATAAAGATTAGCTAAAGGGTAAAAACGTCTTGCTAATATTTCGATACAGTCTTAGTGAAGTGACTGGACTTAAATGAAATTTGTATTAAGTTTTAATTTGTTTTAATAAAATGGCAATAATCTGGTCTTGAGTACTATATACCAAACCAATGTGCATATAAAATACTGAAACATTTACTAATTTTCTACCAACCAATTAAATATTTTGATGTATACAATTATGGAAGCTCTGTTGAAATTTATGGAGGAACTTTATTATAATGATCTCCATTTTCGCACTGAAATTCTTAAAACAGTAAGAATTATAAAACATAGACAAAATGTTTCTGATACAAATCATAAGAAGTAGTATTGTATATATCAAAGCTACGTGACCTTGTAGTTTTGTTGACGTCATCATTTATATGAATGAAATATAAGATATAAGTTAAGTCGTATTCATTTGTATAAGTAATTGTATTCAAAGGTTAGAAAATGAGATACCACTGTAAAGGTTACAGCTTTATTGTATTCATTTCGTCTAAAGTGGCAGATTAAATGCATATTTATTCATTCCGGCAATTTATTTATTTCTTCATATGCATAATTTGATATAATTCGTTAGTGAATGAGCTTTGTAAATGTCTAACAGACGAAAACATAGAACAATATTGTAACGAAAAAGTTTTATTCGTACTAACACGTGGGTAAGTTTCTTACAACGAGGCCATCTTATTTGAGATATACATGGGTCATTCATAACTTCCTCAGAATTAGAATTGAAAAACTCTGTATCAGATGCTAATTGAATGTGGACATTTGTCTGCTCGAGAAAGACATATCAATGAATGAACATCTCTGGGATTGTCTGGGAATTTAGCAGGAACGGCGTTTGCCTATAAAGAGACATTTCATTTATATGCAAATAGCCTGGAAAGAGATTTGTGAGCATATAACGTTATATTTGATCATGACAAGGAACAGAATCATGTAAGAATCATTAACGTTTGGTTTATTCTTCATGTCTTACATGACAAATTTCTTATTTATTCTAGTTTGGGATGGGTCTGAAAGGACAGCGTAGGTTGATATTGCCGTTAGAATCACTATAAAACAGATTTAATTAAACAATGCGTATTATCTAATTTTCTACTGGCAAGAACAACCTACGCGGCATTATAGTTTGCTAAGAGGCATAATTGAAATTATAAATTTGCATAAACTAGTAAATTGTTGATAAATAATGTAAAGATAATGAGAAAAAAAAATAACGGAACGTTGAATTTAATTTACTAGTATGATACTCCCGAGTTTATAATTGTTATAAATGCAGTATAATGATACATTGTATTTCTATAGTTTTACTTAAAGTCTTAATAATATAGATTTGTCGTAATAAACATAATGTATTTTAGACATTATTTCTCTTGTTCGACTATCTTTCTGACAATCTCCTTTACGATATAGACAATATGAAGAGTAGGCTAAATAAAACCATAAATAGCACAACATTAATGTATAAAATAAACTAATCAGAAATTTTAATAAAATACAAAAATATTTATAATTTTTGTTGCCTATTTTTTCATGTCTTTATATAATATAATTCCATTATATGATCGTATATAACATGTATACGAACATGTTTATGCAGTACATATTTATCAGAACAGAACAGATATCTTGCTTTCCTTCAAAGGTATTATGCAATACAATTATTTGTGTAATTTAATGCAGAGTCAACTATTTTATGTTATGTTGAAAGGGTCAGCAGATTCTTCAGTCAACTGCAGTATTATTATTAATATTAATACGTCTGTAGTACATTTGCTTCAAAATAATTTGCAAAGTCATTATTGCACAGATATATATGAACTTTTGACCTTTGAATAAATTGTTGGTGTTAGTTATACACGTACTTTTATCAATATTGCGCATAGAATGTATGACAGAAGTTCTCTTTGCAACACGTCTGTGGTCTGTTAACGAAAATAGTTCACCGGTCCACAAAAATTGGGGCATGTTTTTCACGCGTCCTGCCTATATATATTCAGAAAAATTACATTGTCATTTGATCATTAAAATAAAGGAATTCGAACCGATCATACTGATTAAAATATACTTAAGGTGTTTTGATTGATACTGTGTAATCATAACTCTGACGCTTAACTAGCAATAAAAGTTGATGAGGATATTGTTAACAACATTTTCAACTGCGCTACGTGACGCAGTAAAACAATCAACTTGAACGACAAATTGTTAACATTATGAACAAGTCAGCATATAAAGGTACTGTGCATATTTGTTTTGCATATGTCTCTCAAAGAGTCAAAGACTCTCTAAATTTAAATTACGAATAATATAAAAGCTAGTAGAGTAACACAAACGTTGTTGCCTACAGTGAAGGTGGAACTGGGGACGAGTTGTTATTAAGGATTATATCCTACAGTGAAGTTACATTAGCATACATAATGATACTCTAATCACTTCAAACAAGAGTGAAGTAGTGGGAGTACTAATTTAACTACTGGTGTTAACATACCTATCACTATGTTAGTTGTCTCTTGTAATTTACTTTAGTTTTGTGTTGTACACGGAAGAGTTGTAAACAAATCATGTGAACAACATGTGGATGAAACTAAAGCAAAGAATGTAAAAGAGTTACATAAGTGCTGTAACAAATAAATGCATGTACTAATCAATGATATGTACCATTTTTACTTTTCACTCAGATTACATAATATTATATTTTAGCATGTTGTTTTAAAGGTGCATGCCTCCAGATGAGCCAAATATTTCAAGAAAATCAAACTTGAGGAATTTTTAAGAAATATAAAACGATTTAAGATAAAAGAAATAATTTCCATGTTATGTGCGATTAATGACAGATTTTGCAGTATTTTCCATCATATTTATACTTCGGTGTTAACGCAGTAAAGGCTATATTTTTGCATATCGTGACCTCTTTTATGTTATTTTTTGGTGGATATTAAGTGCCGATTGCATTGTGTGAATTTTGATTTCTGTGCTCACTTCGTAATATTTAATTTTTAACATTTTCAAAATTTTCACAAAAATGAGCAGGGATTTGGAGGCATGCTCCTTAAAAAACTAACTTGAAAAAGTAAGGTCAAATCAAAATTGCATTGATGTAGGATTAAAAAATAAAATGCATTTTAAATATAATTACACCATTTTAACGTATACACCTCGTGAATAATAGTCTAATAATTGGACTAACTTCACAATCCAAGCAAACCGTTTGTTCGGCAGTATACATTGAAACACTCATATTTACTGTTATGAAAGTCTTTTTAAAATGTATTATGATTTTGCCTTTTTGACGAAAGTTCATGTGTGTATTACATTGTAAGCTTAATTATGCAATATAAGATTATATTTCGTCTGCTATTTTGTAAATTTCTTATCTTTGATATGTGAATAATTATTGCGCAACTCAGCAAAGCTCAACGAATTATTTGAAGACAAAACAAACATGCTTAACAAGGCATACAACACCTTAGCAAAATCTAATATATTCCAAAGATCAGTTCATTTAGTAAGCAAAAGCACACGATATAGATATTGCCTTTTGAATATAATTTAAATGTATTTCACTCATATATTTCCAGGACAATAATGTGGCGACACTTCCCTGACAGTACCGGATGTACAGTTCTGCTCATACGAGTGTTCTTGTGGATATTCATAGCTAAATATAGTAACAACCAAGAGATTCCAACACGAGGCACGGACTATGCGTTCGGAATCAACCAGAAGAATTTGTTTTATGACAATAACAGAATTCCGGACGGTATAGAAGTTTCCCCGTACCTGTTTCTCAATACAACTAAAAAGTAAGTACAAATCATTTTGTTTTCCAATGTAAACAATGAAGGAAAGATCGCACAGTGTATTCGATGTTTTGCCATTCTTAAAAGATACCGTCACTTATACCGTACAAAACTGTATATACCGAACGATAATAAACACATAACGAATAGATGTTCTCCAGAAAGATTTATTTTGGATGCTATTCATACATCAAGAATATTTTGATGATGCAAAAAGCGGACAAATATTATTTCTATGCAACAAAACATGGGCAATAAAAGAAATGAACAATGTTCAACAACGGATTCCTTGAACTTTTTTGCGGAACTCTCCTAAGACAAAAACATATTATTGTTATCTTTGTAATAAGGAACATGGCATACACACCTTGATCAGTTTTGTGGTTCGTTGCATTCGCAACTGCATAGAATTGGTTGAAAGATATTCATTAAAAAAAATCTCAACCGCAGCTCTGTTATTTTCTATTTTCAGAGACTGAACATTTTATCGAAGATTAGCGAATACTTTTGATAAGGAATAAATGATATAAATGTCTTTATATACATGTGTATTTGAAAATATGTCATCTCAGTTTCACAACCAAAATACTTTATTGTCAACATATTAAACATAAAGTTTAGCATCTTATCAGTTATCTTTTCTTTTCTTTTTTTTGTAAATTGTTTTTCTTCTTTTATGTATGCATTCCTTGGTATTTGGAGACTGAAACTTATGTGAAATTGATACTTTTAAACAAAGTATTCAAAGAATTGGTTATTTGGTTTTAACACAATATTTTTTAACAAATATTCCGTATTTTCTGCGACCGATTGCATCGTCACCACTAAAACATAAAAGATGAAAATAACTGTATTGCATCGTCATTAAAACATAAAACATAAAAATAAATGTATTGCATCGTCAGTAAAACATTGAAAATTAAAGAAATGAAAATAAATGTATGGAAAAAAAAACTACAATAAAAACCCCACAGTGGCTGGGTGGGATAATATAAATTTCATTAAAGTTATAGATAAAAATAGAGTGTTTTTTATTATCCTGCTTGTGTAGTAATAGATATCCGTAAGCAAACGTCCGATTTAAAATATATTGATTTTATTTTTAAAGCTCATTTTTTTTTATCAAAACTAGCCTTTATATAGTCTTTAACAGTTTCAGACTAAAGGACCTTACATTACAAAACACACGTAAGATGTAATACATACGTAGTACCATAATGACGTTAACGACGCTAACAAGCCATGCGTATGTTCATTATTAGCATTAACAACTACCAACTCAACTATTTTCTGAATGAAATATCACGGAAATATTAAAATTGTGCAGGCATATTTAACATGGTATGTTGACGTTTTATTAACTTTTTGTGACATAAAGTGTCAGTTGTACTCATTTGCTATATTTTAAGTATTTCGGTTTCATTTTTGTTGACTTATTACATTTTTGTTATGAATATAAATTTTCACGTATTATAATACAACAAATGATTTTCTGTTTCTGTCAACAAAATGTTATTTTAGCCAGATTTATTATAATACTAAAATAACATGTAAATAATGTTGCTTTTATTAAAAAAAATAAAACAGTAAAGCATACAATTATAGACGAACTGATATGTTTGTTATGTGATATTGTGAAACATCTTGTTGATATTACATATATTTCATAAAATATTCAAAATTAATTACATGTACTAGTATCTACAAAATAATTGATTTGGGGTGGTCCCTGAAATAAAAATTATTTCTGTATGTAAGCCAATATATTTATTCTAATGTCGTAATTCCAACATAATATTATTTATTTCTATTGTTTGTTTAAATTCAAGTTTCATGTAGAAAAAAATCACAAAGTGCAAATTGGACTTAAAAACTTGAAAACAAACACAACTAAACACTTGAAATGAATAGTTTTTTTTTAAATCTAATTTACACTATTTCAAACAGCAGATACATTTTTATTATAATCAAATCTTTTCTCAGAATCAAGGCAACGAACACAGACGCTTTCTATAGTGGCACAATCATACACGCAGACGCAGGCCTGCAAATTTAATTGATGTATGGTTTTCATCGATATTGATAGGTCTCAGATAGTGAACAAGTTGTATCAACATTGTAGTTATCTTGTGTAGCATGCCGTTCACTGATAATCATCTTAAAGTATACCTTGTGGTTGCTAGAAAAATGAAATTAATAGCTCTGCTGCCAATTACCACAGAGCAAAGCTTCCTAAAGAGCCGCTATGTCAGAATCAATTATCTTGTATATATTACCTGCTGTTTAATTATGTACATTAAATCATTCAGGTAAAACAATTATTAAAATTGAAGAGCCTTTAGAACTGGTGTGAAGCAATTTGATATAGAGAACGAAAAAGGTTATGTTGGTAACTTATAGTACTTGTTAAAACGTTTTCCTCATTATGTTCCAAGACATATACTTCTTTGAAGTAAAAAGAAAGAATAAACAATAGGTTTGGGGCTCGACTGCAAATACAGATATTCAGCTTTTATTTAGTTAATACTTCATTTAAAACGTTTGTACAATCCTGAATATTTATTACAATTATATATACATTGTATGTCTCTGCATCATAATGATTGTTATAGTAGATCTTACAATGAAGCATTACGAAATGCGAAGCAAATTCCTTGGTTAATGAACACACAATACAATCGAACAAACAATCGAACCCTAACCCTAACCCTAGCAGATATTTATGATAATCTTAGAACCATATTTAACACGGTTTTTTTTTTTAAATGAAAAAAAAAATAATTAAAAAACAACAACACACAAATAAAACGGTTGAATATAATATACCAATTTTAAATATGGAAAAACGATTATATTGGGTGACACTTTACGACCACAACACATAAATATGCTGTTTCATATGACTATGTACACACGTTTGATAAAATGGTGTCATTTGGAATACTGCGTCGTGGTTTTTTGTCCTATATGTCCACATTCGTCCGCCTTCACAGAACATTACAATGTCTACCTTTAAAAAATGATGATACATTACTAAGAACCTATTACCTTTCACTAGTTTATTTGTTGATACGTGCAAGGATATTTGTTTTCAAATTATATAACATTGGTCGCAAATTATCGATGACTGCTATTAACAGGCTGATATAATGGGTTTAAAATATTGCTTTGTCATTCAACGTAAAAGGACAGCATCATTATAAATCAATATGAATTATGTATGAAATAATGATGCCGCAATTTGATGTTATGCTATTTCTATTTTACGTTTGCACAAGATCACTTGTACATATTTTATAAATGACCAAACATATGTGAATCCTTTTATTTTTTCCTCATCTTGTTACAATCCAAATCCTGCTATTGTGAACTGAAAATGTTGTTAAATTCGATTTTTTAAAATCAAAACGTATGTTACTTCTGAAATAAAAAGATACCTTTTAATCTATCCATTCTAAATGTATAATTGGAAAAAATTCCATTTTTAACTGCATTCTAGTTGTCATAACATTTTAATATAATACTTGTTGAAGGTATAGAATTATCAGATTGAACATTCCACAATACATATTCTGCTATTGATTGATTGTACAAAACGTGCAGAGAAATCCTTGATTGGATGAAATTTGAAAGAAAACAAGGCTTTGTTAGCAATTGGGAGACATACCAAAAGAAAAAAAAATACATCTCAGGAAAATATATTCTATTGAAGGCATTATATTTTTGAACTGCATGCTTTGGTAAGACCGTCACACAGACAAATAATTAGCATTGTCTTTGTAAGTGGTAAAACATAGGAATTATACGAGGACTTGTAACCATTCCACAATTACAACATAATTCCTGCTAATTGATGCTGACTTTTAGCTCTGCTATAAAGTCAGATCAAGAAAATGCCTTTCTTCTTGAAGTACGGTTTTTACCTGTTAGAATTGGCACACCATGATCACAGATTTGACAGTAAAGATCTATTATCTTGTCACTAGTCGATAAGATAACATATTTTATAGCCTATATAGACATAACAAAAGCTAGGGACGTGTATTAAGATAAACGAGCTATTTATCGTAGGTCAAAGTCGAAAGTTATCTTCAAATGTTCTACGCTATTTGCTACTGCTGTACGGAATTAGTATGGAATTAGTTTTTAGTGTCAATTATATCAACGTAGCAACATAAGCATTATCTATAAGTTAAATCGACAAGGCTTATAGTGCATCTTTCAGGCTGCCAAATATCAGCCTCTTTTTAAAAAGGCAAGTTGGTGTTAAGTTGTGAACTGATTGGCCATATTTCAATTGGCAAATCATATAATTGTTTTGATCCAAGGTCGTTTAATGAGATATCGCGTGGAAATTAGGACTAGATTAAAATCTTTTCAAAGGAAAGTAATCTACGTTGCATTTTTTCTTAATATTAAAACTCTTTCAAGATGCTTATGAATAATCGACGAATAAATCTGAAATTGATGAAATGGATTCTAAAGTTTTGCCAAATCTTCTTAATAGCCACGTAAACGAAATTTTCTTAATTCAAAAAGTTGATGTTGTTGGCCACTTTCTAGAACTATTTTTACGGAACATCACACACAATATGACAATGTTAAAATCTTCATGTTTATATGACAATGTTAAAATGTTCACGTTTATATGACAATGTTAAAATCATATAAAATCATATTCTATCTTCTACTTTGCTATCTGAATGAATTTTACCACAGAATTAACTAAATCAGCATCAGTGCCTATCTCAGGCATGTTAAGTACTCTTCTACGAATGTGATCACGATTTTTACGTGCTTTTCGTTAGTTCCCAATGTACCTTAACATTTCTGTCATAGTTTGTGCATGCGTTTTCGAATTAGATCCGCACAACTGAAATTCTAAATCCTTACCGCAATGCCATTCTGAAAATCTTAAAATCACGTGCGCGCATTCCTTGCTCATCTGACTTGTAGGGTCGGTATCAAAATATTTTCAGACATCTTCCAATATGGTTCTGTAG